TTGATTGAACTCATCTCATACATTTTTGTGTACTTACTGCTTTGGATCTATGAGAATGTACTTGTCTCTGTCTGCTGTCTAATTTGTATGTGCCATAAACTAGCTGATAAAGAGTTGTATGAAAAATGTATGAGCAGAAGTTATCACAGGTCTTCTGTAGTGAGATGGAAGCTACTTCGAGAAGGACGGGATTACTGTTATTGTATATTTATTGATTAGGAGTAATGATGAAGACATTGTGTGTTGTACTGGTATTAATGTTTATGAATGTTTCTTTAAGTTCTGGGACCGACTAGCGGATGCTTGTGTAGGTTCAGAAAGCATGGATTTATTTTGGAAAACTATATAAAATTATACTATGACACTTCAGTCTTTTCCAAATTCAATCCAAAATGAAATGAAGAAAATATTAGCAGTCCTGTAAATGAAAATAGAAACATCAAATATGTATGGCGTCTCTGAGCTCTGGATTTCATATGTAATTTGATGTTTCTGTCTGTCATTGAGTGTAGTACACCTACCAGGCTTGCATAATGAGCTAAGCGTCTGCCAGTCGTGCCCACAAAGTATTCCATATACCTAATGATATTAAGTTCGTCGATGTGTTAGGGTAAGAACAAACTAGTTTATTGTATCATAACTGGTAACTATAGTCTGTAATCTATATATATATATGTATGTGTAACATTATTTTAACTATGCATTATGAGCTTTAGCGCCTGAATTTCGCTTAAGGAAAGTTGCCAAAGAAGAATATCAGTTATTTTTACATGCTTTTGTTTGATCGACTAAATGCTTGAAGGAATTAACTAAAATAACAATGTGTCACGATAATCTAGCGACTACACACGTGCACTGTCAGTTGATATTATGAATTTAAAACCAAGCATTCTGATTGATCAATCGATCATAGCCGAATTATTATAGTTGTTATAAAATTAAATATTATATAATATCTATTGAATGGTTAAATAAATTATACATGAAATATATATTGTATTTAAAACGTTTTTTAAAGCAATTAGCGATTTTGTTTAAATAAATTGCCGTGCCAAAGTTAACGTTAAAGTGGTTGAACCATATCTTTGAAGTTTAAATAAATTATTTATGTTATATATTTATGCTAGCTTTGTCTGGAATTGAGGATTTTATTAAACGATGAGATTATATAATTATTTTAAGGAAATTAATATATGATATCTAACTTATGTTAATTGTTTACTCATTTATGTAAACTTTAGTTAATCAGAACTCGGTTTAACAACACAAATAGATTAACAGAATAAACTTTAACCGAGCAACGATACGTAATTACATTTATTTAATTTACTCTCGACTTACTTAGGTAATTAATTATTATTTTGATAGTACTTTTATATCTGTATTTAAAGTATATATGGACGCTATAGATGAATGCTATGCTATATAAATGTTCATGTATGTAGTGTCTGGGCTAGACTCTCGATAATGATAACGACAAAAATCTGACCTTAAATCGTACACTTTAATTGTAATTTTTTGGTTCTAAATTTGTTACTAGACTATTGAAAGCGATAAAGAATACAGATAATGAATTACATTTATTAGAATTAATGTTTAATTTTACTCTTTTGTACGAAAATTGGAAATCTATCAATGTAATAGCTAACTTAGCGACCGATTTCTATCGTTATAACTATCGAGAGTATCAGCCCCCGGTCTGTTATTGCAGGCCATTCTGTTTCCTTTGACAGCGTTGTATGAGACATTCCGCTTTATATGTTTCAATTGATCGTCATGTATTACGTATTAATATTGTGAAACGCATTAGTTAGTGTTTAGGGTATAAACAGTATATTATCATTAACATTATTATGTACTAAATGTTATCACAACCGTTGTTATGACACGGCCACATCTACTTTCGATTAAACCTCTCGAGGTTTCTCCTGACTTCACCTTTATCCCCACACCTAAGCTCTATTCACTGTGATAAAATAATTGTAAGAATTAAAAGTTAAAAATATTAAATTTAAAAATCAATACGAATAATGTTTGTATAATTTTTCTATGCTTCCGTCTGTTTGCGGCAGTTTTTTCGATTGACGAATGACGATGAAAAATTTTATAAACTTGAATAATATCACAGTGAATATAATGATTGGTTCTATACCTATTGTCCAAGTACCATTTACGTTTTATTTGTTAACATTTGTTTCATAATATATTGTATCTTCTGAGGTCAGAATGATGTATTTGTATTGTATTTCTTCGTTTAAGGTGACCTCACTCGAATATCCCACGTCTGATTATGTTACACTATAATCTTTAATTTAAATATATCGACGTGTTTTATATTATCGTATATTATGATATATTTTAATTTATCACGACTGTGCTGTTTTATATCTCATATATTTTATACCGATGTCTCTAAATAAAATGTGAACAAGAATTTTGAGTTTTATTACCCCACGTCCGTAGTTATTTACTTAAAATAACATAATCGATATTACCAGTACCTATACCTTTTAAGCATATATTACCAAATCATGAGTCTTGGGTTCGATACCCGAGTCAGACAAAATATTGTTGGAATTTCTACCATAGTACACTCATGTAAACTCAAAATCTAACTTCAACGTCCTCACTTAACTTAAAATATTTTCATAATCCCCTGCTTAATTATTTATTCAATACCCTGCGTCCGTAGAGTGGGCCCGAGTAGAAAATTTTGTCGTTAAGGTTGGCTCAGTTACAACATCTTATTGAACATTTTGGACTCACGAATTGATAGAAATCCTAGAAAATAAGATATCGACATTTCCTTGTGAAAATTATGTTTTCTGTTTAAGAAATAAACAAGAGTGACCTTGATCTGAAATATATTTACATAGTTATACAATATACATAGAATTCCTTAACATCATTAGCTCTATAATGAAAATGATTTTCGCTGGACCCAATGATACAAAACTTGTTTAGATATTATGATATTGCCATTAAACAAAGAGCTGGGGACTGGTCCGGTATTTTACAATGTTTTGATAACATATTTCATTGCGTTTTTTTTTATATTTGATGCGCTAACGTTTGACTACTATCTCGCCTGGTGGTAAGCGATGATGTGGTCTACGATGGAGCACGTCGACCCATAAGCAACCTATTCTCTCGGGCCTTGAAGATACCCAAGTTGCACCCTTCAGGAAATACAGACTCTGGCAAAGAATTCCACTTCTTAGCAGTATGCACAAGGAAGCTAGATGCGAAGCGCTTCGTGTGGGTGGGACATCCAGCATGAATCTGACGGTGACGTGACGCCGATTTTCTTGTGGTACGATGATGGAAAGGACTTGTTTATGGGTCGACGTGCTCCGTCGTAGGCCGCATCGTCGTTTACCACCAAGTCCCCAGGTGAGATGGTGATCTAACCTCGGCCGATCAAATATAAAAAAAAACCTATAGCCTACTAATGAAAATGTTCCAAAACTGAGAACAACTCTAAATAATAATATAAGAAACCAATATTAAGAGAAAAGTGGGTGTTACATTGTACAGTCGCATTAAGTTCCGTAATGTGCACCTCTGGATACCTCTTCGGGGATAAAAAGGCGTGATGTTATGTTTGTTACGTATTAAGAGTAAAATTTGAATGATATCAACACAAAATAATTAAGCGACAAGGTCTAAAGTCGATTCAAGCGACATCTAGCTGGCTGTGTATGTACTTCTTGTTTGTATGAGAATCCCTGTGTTTGATAGCGCTGTAGTTGTAATGTGCTACGAGTAAAAAATAGAGACCGTAGTTCCTCATAATGCTACTAGATGTCTCTTTTAGTAAATATGCACAAAAGGATTTTATTATACATTTGTAAGTTTCCTTCCTGTTCATTGAAATATTAGGGTATTATCAACTAGGTACTTATTTATTAAAAACTTTGTGAAGGTGATAATTATTATAATGTAATGTTATTTTAATAACTTTTATAAAATTTAAAAAAAATATACTGAGAATTATACTGAACACAGGGGTATTTCCATAGATGTAATAAAAGAAGTTTGTTTTGAATAATTGTTTCTGTAGATATTTCATATCATAAGTTCATTGAATGATACTAAGCAAACATAAAACGCCTACGCTATATTTTAACTTGATCGCGCGAGTCACCACTACTCTCGACGCGGTTTCGATAACCGCGATAATAATTCTGGCTGGCACAGCGCGGCAACGTCGCGAGATCGCGCGCCCGGTGTGACGCGACGCGTGTAAGATCCACTTCACACGAAACAGTTTTTATGCTGCGACATGGAATTGTAACGTAATCATTTGTAAGCAACGTTTGGTTTATTGGTTTAAATCAGAAATCCTTTTTGGTAACTTTTAAACGTTTTTGCATATCGTAAACAAACATGTTAATTACTCTTATTATTATCCCTTTGTGAGGTGGGTACTGGATTGATATTATAGTGCAAACAAAAACATTCATCAATATCATTATCATCCATTGGACGTCCACTGCTGAACATACAACTTCCCAGATGACTTCTAGATAGCCCACATAATAAAAACATTTGTGAGTACCTAAGCACTTATCCATAAAATTATTAACACGGGACTCGTATGACCTGATTGGGTCTACGACTACTTATGTACTACATACATAGGAACGCCAATTACTACGATTCCTGCATACCTCTTAAGTGCTTTGAAGTAAAAATGTATGATAATGTCAATACACTACTCAATGTCTTCGCAATAATTTACATTACATTTTTGAAAGTATTGGTAATAGCTTCGTACGTAAAAAATATAGGTACAATTAAATAGGTACTTTATAAACGATGTATAAATATGATTTTTTATCTTTTAAGGAAAAAGTCGCGCGAGCGTCAAGTCTGAAGCGCGCCATACATTGATCGTGCGTATCGGCCGCGCTCATCCGCGCGCCCGCCTCGCCTCCAGCCGCCAGTTGCCGCGGCGAACTCTAGTCGCGCAGACCGTTGGGACGCGACGCGATTTTATGTTCAAAACACCTTGTGTCAAAATGCAGAGGAAATTGATATTATCTGATCAAACATTAAAGAAATTCATCAAAGAAGTGAAAAAGAGAGAATGTTTGTGGAACCCACAACACGAACGTTACAACGATAGGTATCGAATGGCTAAGGCTTGGATGGAGATAGCGGAACTGATGGAACTACCAGGTGCGATGTTTAATGTATACTTTAATACGACACGCGACACGTGAGTCTGCGGCGCGCCGCGCGCCGCCCTCCGGCCGCTTGCTTTAATAGTGCGCCCACGCAAATGTAGATGGCATTAGTAGTCTCTAAATCCCAACTTACTAGTTTATAATATTAATTCGTACTTTGTATACTTAGTTACAGAGGTACATAAAGCAATACTTTGTAGATAACTATGTTATCTCTGTGACTCCTGCCTAATTTAATTACCTAATTATAATAATAAGTTTACCTATATCTATAAGGCCACAATACTAACAGATAGTTAAAAAAGTGTCAGGTTTAATTCCTTCGGCGACTAAAGATAATAAATATGATCAGTTTTTACTTATTTATCGTAGTGTATCATGCTAGATATAGGTACTCAAAAGGCACTTACCATCAGCAAATACGCGGGTAATTGTACCCCGAGGCGATCATGACCCCTGGTAGAGATGAGACGATGAAAATAAAACGTTTTAACTCTGTCAGTTATTTTTTGCATCACAATTATCCCGCATATCGTTAATAGGGTGGACAGATCTATGATAGCATTGATCCAAACTATGGCTTACATCGTTAGCGATACTCATTCAAAGGATGGCTTTGTATGGAAATATTCATGTGCCTATTTCAATTGCTAATCAACTCAGTCAAAAATATTTCAGCTACCTAGGTACTTACATGTTTTTATTTTATATTGCAAAGAAGCTTTTTTTAAATCAAATTACTATAAAAGTTTTGATTGAAAAAATTACTGCTTCGTTGGCCGAGTGGCCGCAAGTGCGACCCGGACAAGGGGTCTCGGGTTCGATTCCTAGGTCGGGCAAAGCATTACTGGGTTTAAAAAAAATCTCAGTAGTAGCACGGAGTCTGGAATTGTGCCCGATATATGGCAATAGACTCAATCCCATGGGACTCATAATATAAATAGTGAAAAGTGGGTGTTACATTGTACAGTGGCATAATGTGCACCTCTGCCTACCCCTTCAGGGATAAAAGACGTGATGTTATGTACCTATGTTATGTTGTACTATAAAAGTCTGCTTGCTGTAACTAAATTTAGTTTGTTAATGTTTTATTCTTTCTATTCACAGAGGATCGTCTCCGAATGAGGTGGAAGAATCTCCGAGATCTGTTCAAGAAAGAAATCAAAAAGTTTGGCTCCGTAAATTATACTGGAAAATGGAGACATTACAATGCGATGAAGTTTCTTAATAAGGTCACTGAATCGAAACCAGACCAGACTGAGCATACAGAACAAACTGAAGACCAGACTAATAAAGACAATGAAGAAGAAAACGAGGGAAACAAAGTAGCTACCAAAGAAGAATTAACAGACGACGATTTCGACTTTGTAGATGATCAAGAGAATGTTACAGCTGGGAGCCACGAAGGAGAAGTATACTTCGAACAGAGATACGAGGAAGATCCCATACCTGACAAAATGCAAAAACTTCCGGAAGAAGACTATGATATGATGTTCTTGAAGTCTTTAGCGCCGTATTTTAGGCAACTGGATCCAATAAGGAAGCTGGTGGTGAGGAGTAAGATGCAGGACATGCTGCTGAATGAGATCGCGGCCCAGTCGTCGGTAAGCCAACAATTCCATTCGAAGAAGAGTTAATAATAATAAGTAAAGAAAAATTGTAATAGTACGGAAGTAACATATTCTGAAATTGCAGCAAGAGTGAATTTGTACAGGAATAACTATGTCTTCGAGAACCTCGCAATCATAGAATTACAAAACTTAGGACCAAAATAATATGATCGATATGTTGGTTAGGTATGTCCTATTAGGAAAAATTTAAGAGAATGTAAGAATAGAACTTCCGTAATGGAGACTGACTTGTATATGGGCGCGTGTTGATTAAGTATAAAATATTTTTATTCTATTGTTAAATATGTCGCTAAGATTTGTTTATAACAAAGGGCCTGCGAAGAAGAGGGACTTAGTCAGGTCATAAGTGTATGTAGGATTTTGAATAGAAGAGAAACAATATGAGATAAAAGAAGATAAAGACAAGAGTCATTGGTCTATACAGACCTTAGGATCATTCGATTGAGAGATAGTGATCTTTTGTTGATAGTTTCAAATGGTTGCACAAACATCAATATAAAAAAAATTATATTAACGTTAGTGTTTTTATAATAACTATCATGATACATTCTGAAGTAACTAAAAATAATGGTTACTCACGTAAATATACTGAGAAAAGCTCTATTAGTTTCAAGTCACATAGGGACTCTTACTCATGAGCAGCGTGCGCGGTCGCGGCGATGTCGCGCAGCCTACGCCTCTGTGACTTGAAACCCTCGAAAGTAGAAACAAGGTAAAGCTTTTCTCAGTATATTTACGTGAGTAACTCGTAATTTCTAGGTAGTTTTCGTTAATATTGTTTTTGGTCTATTTTTGAAAACTTTTAATACATTTAATGGCTTCTTAGAAGATTTCTGTTTAAGAATTTATAAGTACTGTTACTAATAGTGCCTTACGTAAGTTTGTTGTAAAACTGATACTTGTTTTTTTAGAGACAATTGTTAATTGTAAAATGATAATCTGGCATTAATCTTCAATCGTTCGTGATACAATATATGCAAGGTTTATTAAAAATTCTTATAATATTCTAGAAACGTTTAAAATAACTGGTTCTCTGTTCAAGTGATTTGGAGCTTACTCCTATAGCTGCGTCTGCTAAGAAGGGTGTCATCGATTCAATTCCCTTGAGTTTGCGATGTTCCACCTCATGTGGTTTTACAGATACCAGCCACTTTCATAAAATCTGTTTATTCTTAAGTACCAGGGTACACAAAATCTGCAGTTTTAACCCCTTGAATGTCTGTATATGAGACACAATAGAAAATACATTGTAGCTCGCGTGGATCCACGTTAAGATTAAACTGGTGCTAATTTGATATCACATTGAAATCCATTCCTCCATCATTTTAAATCTTGGTTCCGAATTGATCCTTCCGTCCCTCTTAACATTCAATCGTAATTATATAAAGTTCAAGTTTCTTGTAGATAATTTGGTCTTTCCCTATTTTTGAAGCGAATGTTATACTAAACCAAAGTTCTTCTTTATTAAGGAAGCATTAAACAAAGTAATTTTGATGCCCTTTTCAAACATTTCAGTCCTCAATATTGTTTTATCTAGATAGAATGAGATAGGTCTTTATTAATTGCTTTATTTGTTACCAAAGTAGTCTAAGAAATACATATTAGTGATAGATATCAGTTAGGTAAGTGACACATATGTCGGAATACTCAAACGCTACTCAATTTTAAGTCGCGCTTAACTATAGTTCTATCTCTACAAATTCTTTGTAAAATGACAGAGATGGCACGATATTTGAGCACGACTTAAAATTGAGTAACGTTTCAGTATTCCGGCATAAGATAAGTGTGTTACTGTTAGTTAATTCATTGTTAAGAAAAACTTGAATTACAGGGACGAAATAAGTAGTAGATTGTAAATAGATTTAGGGCCGCATACTGATATGTTACTCAAAGCTAAAGTTGTGATTAAATATCCTGCTATCATTTTATAAATTTAAATTAATACAGTTGGTATTTGTTGAAAGAAATATTTGTGAGAGCGTCTTAAAATTTAGTAACGTTTGGTTTTTAAAAACTAAAAAATCTAAATGTTTTCTATCATCAGAACTAAAAACGGAATATATTATGTACATGTAAATCAGCTAGAATAACTTCAAGCTGCTGCTCATAAATCTGTCGTCATGTTTGCAATTGACTTTGCAACTTTATGGCATTGCAATAAAGTTCAAATTACTAATTAGTAGGTTGCACAAGAGATATTCCGTGCGAGAATATACCCCGTAATACATTGCTCAGCCAGTCAGTCGCCTAGCCACTGAGGCACCAATTTACCCGTATCTAATTTTGGTCAAAACAAATTATATTACTTACTTAACAAAAACCATTAATCTACTTTTTGAATTAATAAAAAATTAGCTTTCTTTACCTCTAATTATTTGATGTGACTTGTATTCGTTCGTAATGAACAGCACATGCTATCATTATGAATATTAGCAAAATGTGATAGATACCTACAGATGTTCTAAAATAGACATTTGTACCAAGACTACCAAGTTAATGAAACTTGTTCAAAGTTTAACTTAGATTTAAGTAAGTAACCATTGTCCTAAACTGAACATGAAACTAAGTAAACCAAGTTATTTATATTAAGTAACTGTTTAAAGTTAGTCAAGCAATAGTGGGCTAACGCAAAGTTTGTAAAAAGAAGTTTCAATATGTATGCGAGAATTAAAAATACTATTGTTTGTTTATAGTCTGTGGTTTTATTTATTAAGAAAAAAATACAACAGAAGTTACACATAACATAACAACACGCATTTTATCCCCGAAGATTATTATTATTACTGAGAATATTTAAAAACCCAGTAATACTTTGCCCGACCCGGGAATCGAACCCGAGACCCCTTGCTCGGCAGTCGCACTTACGACTTGGCCAAGGAGGCAGACAACAGAATTTAATCTTTGATATTTTTTTTCACTTTGTACTGTTCCCTTACATTAATCTGTCAAACACCAAGCGGTCACCGGTGACCGCGACCTATTGTTCTTTAATTGTGTCTATAAAACCGGTACTCGACGAGTTAAGAAAACCAAATTAAGTTTTAGAGATCTTCGAAATTTCTTTAAACTGTCAAACACCAAGCGGTCACCGGTGACCGCGAGCTATTGTTCTTTAATTGTGTCTATAAAACCGGTACTCGACGAGTTAAATGACAACCAAAACTCCAAGGCCTTCAAGTTCAGCTTAGTGATCACGTTTTAATAAAATTCATACCAAGGACATCCGCAATAATTTGAATTAGGGAAGTACCTACCTACCTAAAGCAGTTAACCTACATAGGCACACGAAAATCGCCTTATCCTGGTTTAATCCTCACCCACGTAATACCTACGTAAAGGTACTATAAATAAAATAAATACCCATAATAAGAATAATAAGAACATACGTACACCCACAGAAATAGAAAAAAATAGCATTGTTTTCTGAAACAAACATTGGACACCCTTGTTACCTGATACCTGGAAACAACTTCAAAGGGACTACCTAACTACAAGTACTGCGTCATAACACAGACAGGTAAGTAAATCAATGTCGGGCTACGACAGGCTAAATAAATAGGTCATGGTCAGGACACGACGCATGCATCGTGCAACTTCGCCGAGTGCCACCCGAACGCCGCGCCGCCTCTACAGAACACTGCGCTAGTCACGAAATCCAGCCACTAAAATACCTCCAGCCAAAGTTCTCCCAAACAGTATTACAGTCTGAATAGTTCGTGTACAGCAAATGAAATAAAAAACTTGCAATAGTTGCGGTCGCCTTGCAGTAACTTGGCTTTCAAACTTTTTATACCGATGACGTTTGGCGGGCGACGGGACTAGGGGCATGCGGGCCTGTTGCCGCTGCATACAACCCAAACAAAACACGCGCGGCGGAGCGGCAACGTCGCACCCCGGCTCCGCGCCGGGAATCGATTCCTCTCCCGCCGCGCGCCACCGACAGGTTTTACTCGCAATAGTGAAGCACTAAAAGCTTAATTACCGTAAATTACCGATTTTTCATTAGTTAGTGACACGTTCGTGTTTATATTTTTTATTGTTTTTACTAAAATGCGGCAGTAAAAGACCTGTTTCTGCGGATATTAGACTGCCACAGTTTTTTTGTCCGAGTACTGGTCTTAAAATTTATAATTCAACTAGGTACCTAATTTTGACTAAGTTAAATGTTGAAGTTCATTTTTAGGATAAAACTTAAGATTAACGACTGAAATAAGTTTCAATTTCAAAGAGAACGCAGAAAAAGTATAAACATGGATATAAATTGGAATATTAATGATCTCCCGTAATCATTAGATGACGGGAGAGCGCGCGTTGCAGTAACTTCGAACTGGGGAACCACTTGAAATAATAGTAAACAAAAAGAAAAATATTGAGTAGCGTATTGCGGTGCAGGTTAGGATAGGTTATGATTTGTTTTGATTAGATTAGAGAAGCGTCGGCGTTATAATTTGTTAAGTTTTATTGGAAACATTTCCCTTGAGCGAAAAAGTGATGAGTGTTATTATGTTGCACGTAATACTAGCTTTTCATAGCACGAATAGCGGGTTCGAACAAAAAGTTTATTGGTCGATTTCCTGCATGTTGATTCTTTTTTAGCCATAATGGAACTCATGCATTCTATATCAATTTGTTTTGTTGTGATTACGATGAGACTAAGCAACCCAAATATTATTAAACGTATTTTTACATGAGATGCTTAGGTTTTCATAAATATCGCTGAAAGAAAAGCTGATGTTTGTGTCAAAAATGGTTGGAGAAAACAGACACAGGCAAATAAAAAAGTATTTTTATTGTGATCGATGTAAATAGAAACAAAAGCTGCATTATTCCACACAAACTGTGTAATAAGAACCTAAAGTTGTTCACAATATGAAAATAACAATGTAAAATTTATTGAAAGCTATATATACCTATATTTGAAGTTAATTGAAAACCAAACACCCATTGTTCCCACGATCCTAACAAATAAGCATAAATATTTCATATTAATATTATTATATGGTTCT